GTCCTAAAATTGAACCCTGAAGTACCCCACTATGAGCGCAGGCCCACTGCGACATTGTGCCTCTAATAACTACCTGCTGCTTCCTGTCTGTTAACCAGTTTTCGATCCAAGCTGCTACAGTTCCTAAAATCCTTGCAGCAAATCACTAATTTAGCAAAGGAAGTTCAAAGGGATCCAAACGATTGGGATCCTTCCTGGAAGGCAGTGGTGAATCTGGCTGGATTCCTTGTATGGTTCTTCCTAGCATCCTTTCAGATTTCAGGCACTCTTACTTTAAATTATGCATGAGATCATTTCCATGTAACAGAGGTCATGAATTTCATTATTTTGCATGGCATACTCTTATATAGAAGTTCCATTATTTTGTTCCGGATGAGCTGTGTTTGGTTTAGGATGTGATCGGAAGGTTGTAGGTTCAAATCCCACTGGCGGCACAGTGATTTCACTGTTGGGCCCTTTAGTGAGCCTCTCAATCCCCAAGATCTCCTGGGACTGTCTGACCTCACCTTCTCAAGCAATATACGTTGCTTTAGATCAGGAGTAGGCAGTCCTATCCGGAAAGGACCGCTGTGTATGCAGGTTTTTTGGATAACCTTTAGGTCAGCTGTTCAAACCCAGGTGTGAGGACTCTTTAGCCAATCAGTCCTCTATTTAGTGATTTAATTAGGGAGTTGCAGTGAAAACCCACATACACAGCGGCCCTTTCTGGATAAGACTGCCCACCCCTGCTTTAGATCAGGAGTCTCCAACTCTGGTCCTGGTGTTTACCTGAGAACTAGTGTGGCTCATCAGAAGCCAGGTAGGATAGAAAACCTACTGGATAGTAGCCCTCCAGGACCAGAGTTAGTGACCCCTGCTTTAGATAAAACTGCCTGCTAAGTAAATGACACTAAGCCACAAAGCTTCCCCTTCAGTTCGATTCTAACTCTGCCGACAGCCGGAATGAGCTGAAGGACGCACATACTTACCTCTGGCTGTTCATTTCCACGTACTGCTTCCTTGGAAATGTCAAATCAGCAACAAAAAGCATGTACTTTATTTAGAAATTCAGTTACAAGTACTGTATGTGTTTATATGTCAGCGGAAGTTGTGTCTGCTTGTCGGAGTGCCACCGAGAGAAGCCAGGAAACAGATCAGGAACATTAAAGACCCTCCTGTTGCTCGAGTGGCTTTGCACTTCTGACCTGTTTACTTAGACATCCAGGGCTTCCAGTCACTGATCATAGCCACTTCAGGGGCCATGTGCTGGTCAGCAATTCCAGCTGGTCTCCTGCCTTCAGGTTCACTGGACCACGACACACCACCAGCACTGCCTCTGCTATGGCAGCCCCTCTCCCACCACACAGATAGACTTTCTCATAGAGGGACAGCTCACCCAATCAATACCTGTAAGTGTCTTATATGTTTCTCATGCAACAACTCATGCCCCTATTGATTAACCATCACTATGTTGAATGTGCTCTTTTAAGTGGATTGCTGTAAAAATAAACTCAATTGGAAACTACACCTGCTGCGACCACGCTATTGATCCAAAGGTGCTATTGTGTTATTCGAGGCTGGAATTTGGCCAATAAGATTGGTTTTATTAATTGCACCCTTTGTATTGGCTATGTTCCTGTCGGACATTGCATGGTATTTCAAACTATGTGGAAAGAAGACTGTCAAGGTTTTTTTTTTTATTATTATGATAAAGATTTGATGTTTGTGTGGGAACAATGATTCACAGATATGATTACCCCATCTTTTGGGGAAGGGGAATGTAAGGTGCGTCATGTGAATCACTTTCATGGTCATTGCCCTGGGCTGACCTTATTAGGGGAGTAGCCTCGTGCTTCCATTTCATTGGCTGTAGTTGCAAGAGTCAAAGAGCCAAATAGCAGCCTGCATCTCAAAGAGACACCTGTCAGGAATCCAGGATGCATGGTTACAGAAGGAACTGGGACTGAGGCAATATTCCTTCTTTTTCATGGTGTCGGTGGCAGGAAAAGATCATCCTCCTCAGTGTAGTAAATAAAACTCTAGCTCAGTCATTGAGCAAACCTGGATGTCTCATTGAGAAAACAGCTCATTTATTCATAACGAATTGTAGGCAAATCCATTGTAAGCAAAGTAAAAGCCTTTCCTATAATCTCTAGTTTGTAATTTCAATACTAAGAGTCCGAATTGCACACATTTGTGGATAATTGTGGGAAGCCCCTTCCCATGTCACCAGTACACCGGTGCCTGTCCTGACCTTCTTCTTTTTCCTGAAAGTACACAATAATTATAGAATACAAGATAAATATCATTAAATGTACATCAACAAATCATTCCATCTAATAGAACAATAAGCATCATGAATACATTAACTAGTAAGGCTTTGGGTTTTCCTCTGTCAGGAAAGTGCACTAGGAAGGGGACTCATCTTTTTGAGCAAATATCACACTACCAGCTTTTAAAAGATTATACCTGGTTTTCAAGGACAGTATTAAACAGATCTCAGCTTGGAAAGCAGAGCCATACTCATAGGCTGACAGCCAGAAAAAACAGCAGAATTAGCTAACATGATAAACAGGTGAGTCATAATTTTAACGACATCACACTATCACTGTGTTCCCCAGCTTTACTCTAACATCTGCACATATGAGCCATAATTGGCCCTGAGGCTTAACAGAACTGATTACTGTTGCTAGAATTATTTTTACCGCAGTGCATTTCAGCTGCTCCGTGATGAGGTTTAAATAGCACTTGGGACTGTGGTACGGACATCAGGCCCATATCACACTGATCAGTCTAACTTTACACAATAAAACAGTCTAAACCTGCTGCCGCACTATTAACCCAGTGGGACCACCGTGTTAGTCAGCAATTAAGGTAACCGGGACCTTAAAATGTACTCATATAATTTCGAATACTGGGCTTTGGATTTGCCAGTGTCACCCTTCCTATACCGGTATCCCAGTCAAAGCATTCCCATGCGTGCCGATTTGTCTTTCTCTCAGTGGGTGCCCTAAATAATTCACACACCCCCCACCCAACACACAAACACACCGCAGCCTATCCATATTGACATATACAATTTACCCACTAGCAATCAGAACCAAACAGTGCATGTCAGAGACTCGGTCAATGTTACACACCACAAAACAGCACAGCGGCACCAGGGAAGCTGGCCAATCACATTAAAGCCTTTACGACAGAGGCATTCGAACCTTCCTGTGGGTGCTCGGCCATCTCTGTGGCTGCTCCAGCCCTGATATGTGACGAAAACGGGTTGGAATAGGCTTCAGGCCTCTGCCCCTTGACCCCCACCCAACCCTTGTCCAAGTTTACATCAGATTTATAATGTGAAATTAAAAAGGACCAGTTTAAGAAATTTGTGTCATTGGTGGTTAGTCTGTAATTCACGAGGAATCTAAGAAATAAACCTTTTTGGTTTTCTAGTTTCACGGTCTGTAACAATCATCCACTTAATGTGTAATGCACCAGAAACACACAAGGGGGTGTTGTCCGGTCACGATTCCACCCCACTCTCTCTTGGGATGAACAACGACCTTGTCTTTCAACAGAAGTGGCGACAGTGACTGACGAGATACTGGGAGGAAATAAGCGTAACCATGTGACCTGACAGCACTGCGGTAGGACACGAGCAAATCTGAATCATTCATTACTGATAGCTGCAGCAGTACATGGAAATCAGGGCCATTAACTTCCATCAGAAGCGTAATTTTAGGAGTTCGGAAAGCCATCCAACGGAATTCATTATCGTTATCTTTATCATAACTTTAATGCATTGCCATTAAAGTAATAATCTTCGCAATCACCTTCTCTAAAGTAAAAGTAAACAGACCACGACACATAGAGATATAAGATGAATTTTAGTCTTAATTCATTATATTTTGATTGCTATTAAAAGCAAACTAAAATGTATGCGTAGCGACATTTCCCTAAAAAGCCTATAAACAAAAACCTTCCGGAATCACAGAATAACTTGCAGCTCGACTCATAAATCTGACAAATTCACGTATATGAAGCAAGAACAATTATTGGTACAGTGTAGTGTATCCGAAAAACACCCTTTACAGCCCAGGGGCCCACGATGGAACGTTACCAAATCCTCTAACACTGGATAAACCGCGTTAGCAGTACATCTGCACCTTGAAACATTTCATAAAGCTCCCGGAAATCACTTATGGCGGCGTGGGCCGTGTAGATAAGCTGTAACCAGCGTATAATTAAGCTCGCTAAAATACACAGAATCCTGCATTAAATATAAAGCGGCCAGTGTTCCTAATTAGTGCCGTATTATTAAATACAATATCACTGGGACATACAACTGCAGCCGAGGAAATGAATGTGGACAATTGATCGGAGTAGATATAGTTTACAGGACTTTTGTTCTTACGATTTTCTTTAGCTCAAGATGTAAAAATTGCCCAAATAGTGTATTTACGCTTGTTAGATTAATTTATTGACATTGGACAATATATTGTCCAGAGTACTAAATTTCCCTACTCACATTTTTACTGCCTCTACTTTTATATTATATATCAATTTATATTATATACCACTCTGTCTACATAAATAACACCCCAGGAAGTACATGATTATTTTCTAAATAAAACATTACAGTACATGTTAGCATGTTCTCTCTGGAAAGTCTTGCCTGACAGTACACCCGCAAAAGACAGGATTTGACGTAGGAGAAGGAATTGCCCGAATGCAGCCGGTAAACTCAGCACAGGGCCAACCTTTCATTATGGGTTGAAATTTCATCCACGGGATTTGTGGCTATTAAGTCCATAATCTTTGCAGGAAATTTACTGTTATCGCACCATCTCGTGTTGCTGTAACCCACCTGTACAATTGTGTACAATCTTAATCGTCTACACAGACCTAATGCAATACTATGTGCTTCTAAATTAAATGTTCTCAGCATAAAGCCGTCATTCATGAATGCAAAAACTTTGAGGAATGTGACATCTTTTTTTTAGAGTTTTGGCGGCGAGATGTTCCATAACTGCTCTATCCTTGGTCTATCCTTCTATTGTGCACTATCCTTATATTTCCTTGGTTATTCTCTGCTCCGGTTTGTTAATTTATGCTGTTAAAAGTGATCCAGGGTCATAGAAGACATCGCAAGAACGGATTGTAAGAAATTATGGAGAAGCTTAAGTCCCAGAGAACAGTTTGCTCTGGTCAAAGAGGAAGGCACGTGCCACAGGACTAGACGTTAGTAAATTAACTTACCGAACTGATTACAGCCCTCACACTGATGATCACGTTGCCACCCACCATGTGATTACGGCTGCTTTCTGCTCCTTAATCATGGGGTATTGCTTATCAGAAGACCGCCCGTGTACTTTACTAATGTGCAGAGCTTTTCTGAGTGTAATCTGGACGGAAACGGTCAATTGAGCGTAACCACGCCTGCTTTTACAGAATGAGGTGAACAACAATGCCGGACGCTCTTTAACACACCCCCGGTTGTCTAAATACTTCTCTTCTTACTTACATAAATGGCTGAAGAAGTATTGATACCGTCTCCGGGGAAAATTCGATCGGTAAGTCAGTATTATTGGACATATTCATAGTATTCCGTGTTAAAAGCATCGTTAAGCAACCTAGTCTGTATGTAATCCTTGAACGGTCGCAATTAGCCCGCTGGGGTCATGGAGAATGTTCTGAACATACTATGTATTGGATAGTAGATACCTCGTGTATGAGAATTTGCTGGTCAAGTAAGAACTCAAATATATAATCTTGTTATAGGCTGTATGTTGGCTTTTTTCTATCCATAAATTTAAGAATTATAATGATGAAATAAATGTATCAAATGATAATTTAATATGCATCATTAATTACAGTGGTATAGCATGCTAATCTATTTCATATAGAAAGATCTAGGAGACATTCTTACATATCCAATATATTTCGATGACACTTGCCTCACTTCTATGAAAACGGAGTATGACATTGACTTTGAAACATGTTCATACTACGTGTGTCTGCTTAACAGGAGAGTTGCTCTCCAAGATGGTACAAGTACAGGTCAGTTTGTCCACTGTATGGGAGACCAGGGGAGTTGAATTCCAGCACAAGTCTATTTGATAAATAGATAAAAAGTTGTTTGATTTATTGTCTTATTTAGTATCACTGAGTTTAATCTTGATAAGGATTTGACATTTGGACAAATTTCTGTATACTCTCTCTCACATGGTAAGAGAAATACGTCTGTTTTATTATAAATTTGATGTGTAATGTTGAGTTAAGTATGACCTTAACACAATACAAGCTCTTAAGCATGTATGTAGGGTCCACTGGGATAGTTTAAGAAATGCACTTGTACTTGTAGGTTGCTTGTTAGAGTCCCAGCAGGAGCTTTCAACTTGTTTTAAGTGTATAAATGGGCAAAAAAATTTAAGCAGGTGTAGATGAAACCGTCAGCTTTGTCAGAACATTTTGGAGGTTGAAGAAACTGCTTAAAACAAGTTTTTTTTGGAAACGGGGATTCAGATGGGGAAGGGAGGGAACAGAGACTTTTCCACTACCTACTGTCAACCATCGCCCTGCTCAACTGGCAGTGGGAGCAGGTCACAAGGCTGCATTGTCTATGCATCCGATGTCACGTGTGTGTGCGTAAGTAACGGCATCTGACCATTTAGCGACCAGATGAAGTTTTCTGCTTTTTGCTCCGTCTCTCTAATGACGAAATGGTGGTTTGATACCCTTTGCTTTGCACTTGTGGTCGCTGGGTAACCTACAAGGTCTATGCCATTAAGCCATGTCTGAATGTTAAACCAAGACCTGAGTATTAAGAGGATTTGTTTTGCAATAATTCTTGCTAAACAAGGACAAAGCTACTACTGGTTTTGGATTTACCATTGCCTGAGTCTTGAGTATGGCTCTGTGTCAGACAGGCGTATTGTCCATTTCAGAACCTGTAGATTGCATTAGAGCCTATTGTCATCAGCCCCTGGGACAAATTTGTGAGTGAACTGAAAGGCAGATGTTTTTCAGAAACCACTGTGGTGTGTAGGTCAGTACAACCGTCCTAATGTAGTGGGGCTTCTCTATTGCCATGCTGATACAAGGAGGAACTTATTGAAAGCAGAAACCTTGGACATTCAGAACATACCAATTCACGACTGGAAAAGGGGAAGGAGTGACGATCCATGATGCAGCTGCTTAAGCAACAAAGACCAAGGGCAGGAACATATATACCCAGCTAAGGAGTAACCAGAGACAGGTGTGAATAGATACATTTGGCTGGAAACAATTAAGTGATTATGGGATGACCAGCAGCCTCTGCTAGCTAAACAGGAACATGATGGGCTAACAAGACAGGTCCGCACAGGAATGTGGCATTACGATGAATGAAGGAACTGATAACACTTGACACAAAAGGTAGTGATGGTAAAATGAAGCTTAATGAACCACTTGCTGTATTTTCTGACCCCACTAGATGGTGCTGTCTGTTAAAGAAAAAAACAGTTCAAAGCATGCCCCAAAGCAAGCCATGAGTGTCATCTAGTGGCATCAGAAAATACAGATAATGGTTCATGAAGCTTCATTTAGCCATCAGTGCTGATTAGGTTTGGCAGACATATAAAACAACATCATTAATGAAGGAGTTTGATTGATATGATTACTGGGGTACAAGAGGCTAGGTGTTATTTAGTTTTTTTATGTTTATAGATTGTTTTTGTTCAGAGGGATGGGTTATAATTCTCCCATAGTCCCTGGGAATTAAAACCCACAGCCTTTGCTTTGTTAGCACACTGCTCTACATATTTAATTGCAGGAGCTTGACAGATGGTGTGACCACAGCAGTTCTGCTTTGTCTTGCAGCACCTTAACTTCTCCCTGCTGGCCGTGACTTTATTGACGTCCTTCGGCAGCTCCATGCTCTATGGCTATAACCTGGCTGTGGTCAACTCCCCCGCCAGGGTAAGTTTTGCACTGCAATCTCCATGCTTTCTCTTGAAGGGCAGACAGACAGTGTTCTTTGGATCTTGGGTATTTTAAGAATATTGTCCCACTAATTAAAACAGAGTAACACCCCTGACGCTGAAACTAAGATAAAGAGCTTCAAAGTTTTTTACTGTCCAGCAGATAAATTGTAGTTTTTTTTTCTTCAAAACCAAGCATAGTTAAACTAAGATATTTCGTTGCTGTGATTAACAGAGCTTAACAGATACGATTGCAACTATAATTCAGTCTTGATATAATACACAGTTGTGGTGTTTTTCCTTCTTAAGGCAGTATACCGTGTAGATTTTAGTTAAACTGAACCAGGTTCATTTTGACACTGGAGTCTATCTCTGGCTTGAAGCAGCCAGTAATGCCTCATAGATGGTCCTCATCAAGAGTTGCAACCTTTCGCTGGATATTAACATGTTATATCCCCTACACATGTTGCTGTTTTGCTTTTAAATATCTTTTGAATTGAAGTTGTTTCATTGGCCAATCAGAGCTTAATGAATATGTCACATGTTTTGTGATGCTCTCTTCCCCACCTCCCAGTACATAAAGGACTTCTACAACCACACCATCGTCAGCCGCAATGGCACTGGGGTTAGTGAGGAGACGCTGACCGTCTTGTACTCGGCCACTGTGTCTATCTTTGCCATCGGCGGTCTGGTTGGGTCCCTGATGGTTGGCATGCTGGTCACCAAGTTCGGCAGGTGAGATGACAAATGCCTTGGAGTGAGACACGGTGGCAGAGATTATCTGAGATCCCTCAGATCTACACTTCTGACTTTTGTCCCTTTTGTAGGTAGATAGATAGATAGATAGATAGATAGATAGATAGATAGTGCTTTTCAGCAGCTACTAAAAAGACAAAGGAGAAGAAAACAGTGGCATTCTTTGACAAATTATAAAATAAAAATTAAAAATAAAATAACTTGAAATTAAGTGCAAGGAATAAATACAAATGTGCAATAAAGCTGCAATGTGCAGCCAGTACTATATAGTAATAACCAATATTATATATTTAAAAGAAATTGAGAATAATATGTAATAATATGCAGATGGCCATTTTGTGGCTGAGAGTATTTGCAAATAAAAATTATTTTAATTTTCATTTACTACGTTTGTTGCCCTTATACCCTTTGTGTCATCAAAATATTATTGCAAGAAATAAAAAGGTTATTTTTGCTGCTGAAGAAAGGAAATTGCACTATAAATCTGGATACAAGTTTATTGTATGTCTGTAGTTCCACACTTGATTTGTTGGAGGAGGATTAATGTTGTGGTATCTTTGTGGGTCCCCTCCCTCGTAGGTTGTTCCTGTGTTTGACCAATAGGTGGCGCTTCATGCCATTTACCTCCGCAGGAAAGGGACGGTGGTGAATTCCACTGTGCTGGTCTTTGTTGCCGGGAGTCTCATGGGCTTCAGCAGGATATGCGGCTCCCCGGAAATGGTGATCTTTGGCCGCTTTGTGACCGGGATTCACTCGGGTACGTGTCCCACACTGGGAGGGAAGAGACTGGATCCTGGTGACAGATGGGACAGGATTCAGGATCTGTGCTTTATTACTTCAAGTCAGTGGAAGATGCAGAGAGTTGTATAGACCAAATGAAATAATTATTTGCATATGCAGGTGTTTTATCATTTTCCATCATTATCAAAGCAGTACACCCTGCAGTAACACATCACACAACATGGTGCCGTTGTGGTTTGCAATAACGATGGCCAAATGAAGCTTCATGAACCATTCGCTGTATTTTCTGACACCACTAGATGGTGCTCTCTGTTCAGAAAAGGGCTCAATGCATGCCACAGAGCAAAGCAAGAGTGCCATCTAGTGGGGTCAAAAAATACAGCAAATGGTTCATGAAGCTTCATTCGGTCATCACTAGCTCGTAAAGCACAGTGAGGTCCCCCTCCTCTCCACAGGCATCTCACTCAGTGCGGTGCCCATGTACCTGGGAGAGATCGCGCCTAAGAACCTGCGAGGCTTCCTGGGCCTAGTGCCAAGCATCTTCATCTGCCTAGGGGTCTTCACAGCCCAAGTGCTGGGGCTGCAGGAGCTGCTGGGGAAGGTACGGCCTCCGCGCCCCTGGCTCCACATGCCGACTCCCTGTCGCAGGCGCTGGGCTATCAGCGGGCTATCAGCGGCTCTGCCCTCTCTCCTCAGGAGGAGCACTGGCCCCTCTTCCTGTCCCTGGTGGTGGTGCCCACTTGTGTCCAGCTGATCCTGCTGCCCTGGTTCCCGGAGAGCCCACGCTACCTGCTGATTGAGAAGCACAACATCCACGCTACCATCACTGGTAAGACGGCGAGGCACCGGGCTGCTGGGGAGTCATGGAGCATGACCATAGGGGTGAACAATCATAAACACTGAACTGATCAGGGCAAAGATCTCCGAGATTAAACTCAGGATTAAACAACATACTGAGGATCCAGATTTAAGGTGTTTCAATTTTCCATTGTTAGGCTTGCAAGGGTGGCACAGTAGTACAGGGGCTGCCCTGTTACCTCACATCTCTGGGGCCAGGGTTTTATGTTTCTGGAGTTTCCGTGTTCTCCCCTTATCGTTTTTGGGTACTCCGGTTGTTCTCTGCCTTTTGTGTATTAGTTCTGGGCCACCCACCGTGACCCTGATTATGACAAACGGTTACGGAAGATGGATGGATGGTTAAATGCTTGCATTACTCATAGCAGTTTTTGTGTTTAAATTTACATATCAGATGCTCTTTTACAAAGCGACATACCGATGAGGAAGCAGGAGGAAGTCGGTGATAAGGGCCTTACGTTCTCTGCTGATTGTGGGAGTTGAACCAGCAATCTGCTGATCACAGCATCCAAAGCCACAAAGCCCCACTCAGTCCCACGCTCTGCTCTGTATTGTGTTTCTGCTCCTTGCTGTGTGCAGCGAATTTTGTATCTTCCCAGTGAATCCCGTCACCCGTCCATGTCACACACCCTACAGCCCTGAAGTGGTACCGTGCCAAATGCAACATCCAGGCAGAGATCGAGGAGATGCAGGAGGAGCAGCGCTCGCTGTCGTCGGTGGAGACGCTGTCTGTGTGGCAGCTGCTGCTGGACGGCTCTGTGCGCTGGCAGGTGGTCTCTGTGGCTGTCATCAACGTGGGCATGCAGCTGTCCGGCATTGATGCGGTAAGACTGGGAGGGGTGTGGCAGCAGTGTGTGGCCACACCCATTTAATATAAGGCCACACCCATTTAATATAAGGCCACACCCATTTAATATAAGGCCACACCCCTGTGTGTGTGTGTGTGTGTGTGTGTATTGCCTTGCTATGGTGTGGTGTCCATAGTACACAATATTTTTTCCACTATATTATTTGCTTCTCAGGATAGACTCCTGCTTACTGCTTAACTAGCTAAGCAGTTATGGAAAATAGATGAATAAATCAAATTACATTTAATCAAAAGATGGAGCTTGTGCCAAAACCACACAATGGATACTTTAGCAACTGTGATTAATGGGGAAAGCATCATTCACCACATTTGTGGCTGCTAGTTTATGTTATTGCAGAAATGTGATTCAGGCAAACTTATCATTCAAGGCACTGGGTTTGTGGCTAATATTGACCACAGTATTGATTTTGCATTCTGTCATTTGTCATGGAAACACACGCCTCTCCGTTACTGATGATGAGGAAAGAGCAATCACTAGTGTGCCAAGAATCTTGGCTGTGGGAGCTGAGTGGGTGGTCCTCACCTATGAAAACATTTTCGCACCTGCCCTCCAGGTGGCGCTCTGAGAATTTTAATTTTTTTTTGTCATACCAAATACTCAAAAAGCAATCAAACCCTAACCACTGATATGTAGTAGACTCCTCTTTTGTGTATAATAGAAGGCTTAATTGTTTTTTAACAACTTATTTCCATAAAAAATCTCTCTTTGTACCCAAAGCTACTGCCAGCACTGAGTTTGAGCTGAAGCCTATCATGCTGTGAGAATAGAATACTGATCCTGGGGGTTAAGGGCCCTGTTCAGCGCCCAAAGTTGGCATCAGTCTGTCCGCCCTGTGATTGGAACCGGCAACCTTCCGAGCACGGGTGCAGAGTCCTAACTCACAGAAACACATGAGGTTTTTGCCTCCTTTCGGAACCCACAGATTTGGTTCTACACCAACGACATCTTCCAGAACGCGGGCATCCCGGCTTCGCAGATCCAGTACACCACGGTCGGAACGGGAGCCATAGAGATCATCGCCGGGCTCATCGGGGTGAGCAGGTTGTTGAGGGGGCTTCATGGGGCGTGAATCCCATGGAGACCTGAGCCTCTGGGTCCTGGAGATTCTGAGGCCTTTGGAATCACACCCTTCCGTCACTTAACGCAGTTCACACCAGCCTCTGTTAAATGGAGACTCATTGTCTTGATTTTCTATAATGGCCAGCTGGGTGCTGGATAGCCAGTCAACCTTGGACCCCCCCCCCAGTGGAGGCGTCCCAGGGTGAAGTTTAGCGGATCCTTCGACTTTGAACACGCCGGCATTAGTATACGCGTGCCCCCCCCCCCAGTGGTGTTTTTCCCCTGCTCGACTCCTTTCTTTCTTTCTTTCTTTCTTTCTTGTTTCATGTATTATTCTGCATATAAGAATACATTGATTTGAAAGCCAGTTTCCCCTGGCATTGATGAGTAAGTGTGTGCTGGGTGACTCTGCGTGAGTCACCTCTGCGTGACCCTGGAATGGGGTCCGTGTCCCATGGCGATGCTCTTGCTCCCCACCTCAGTGCTTCACCATCGAGAGGCTGGGCAGGCGGCCGCTGATCATCGGGGGCTTTGGTGTCATGGGGATCTTCTGCTCGGGCATCACGCTCTCACTAGTCCTGCAGGTCAGCCTGTGTGTCATCCTGCAGAACCTTTTTGCCCCCCCCACAAAAATCACTGGCCTACACCCATTCGACCTCCTTGTTCTTGCAGGAACGCATCAGCTTCATGCGGTACGTCAGCGTGGGCTGTGTGGTGGGAATAATTGCAGGCTTCTGCATTGGACCAGGTGAGCCCCACCCTCTAACCAGCCTTGTATCACTGCTCTGTTTTATTTTGGAGGTTCTGGAGGTGGAGAACCTCCCTTGAAGGGGTCCATCAGGCCCCTGCCAAGACTCTGCTCTGCCCCACTGTCTTTGCTTTATTATGTGCAGCAACCATGTGCTTTAGTGTTATGAGTCATCAGCCCACCGACTTATTCCCAGTAGGGTAGCCTGTACTTGTATTGAAACAGTGAAATAGTGACATCTAGTGGTGAGATTGTAAATACCGCCTGTATTTCAGATACACGACTTCTGCCAAACGTTTTGGCTCAGTAAAAAATTTAGAAGATACCATGACAGACATTGACTTACTGGTTCTTTATAACTAAATTCATGCTACTTTATAAAAAAGACCCAAATTACTGAAATCCCCTGTCACTGGACCAGTTTGCTCTTTTGTGTCAGAGTGGTTGAATGGAATAAAACAGAACTACCCGTATACTGTATCGGAGAATCACTATAACAAGGTAATAATAAAATAATAATGTAGATTTTTTTCATACAACTGACATGATGTGAGATGGATGGATGGATGGAGAGATTCTGTGTAACGAAGATGCCCTTGTTAGGCACTATGGCACTAGGTGCCAGTGTTCAAGCTTTTAATTTAACATCTAAAAAAGTTGAGCGGCATGGTGGTTAACTGTTTAGCATTGTTGCCTCACTTTTCTAGGTTGTGGGTTCCATTCCCACCCTCCCATGGTTTGTATGAAGCTTGCATGGTCTTCCAATGTTCGTGAGAGTTTTTCCCCTGCAGCCCCAAAAAACTTGCAATATGCGGTACGGATGCCTCAGAAACCGGCGGTCATCCCCCATTCTCTCACTAACAGGGTTAGTTATAAACACGTCTAAATCCAAGCGTAATCTGACAAGCTGATTAAGGCCGCGTGAGCGCTGGCATGCTGGACTGTTAAAGAGCTTAAAGCCATAAACTGGTAGCACATCTCCAGCAAACTGGGAATGAACTTTTAGGAAAGACCAGCTTCATTAGCTGGTGGGGGCAGCTGTTACACTACAGCCTTGCTGTCCTTGTGCATAAGACCATTATCTTTCCTTACAGAAGTTGCCTTGGACCAATTCCATTACAGCATATTATATCAGGCCCCCAACCCAGACCAATTCAATTATGTTCCAAATTTTTAGGGCCCTTGGAATCATTTTAACTGCCCCCCCATGGGAAAAGTGCCCATGGCTACTAGCAAAATGTTAATGTTCCTGTGGTCTTACAAAATATCTATGGCCCTGACTGAGATCCATTTGGATTCTTACATCTTAGTCATTGTGGGGAATCTGAATTGCTATCTCAGCCATACATGAATCAGTATCTCTGTTTTAGCCATTTAACTTCCTTATTTCCTGTGCTCTTTCTGATACTTTGTGTTTATACATCTTTTTAAAGACTTAATTTCAGTATTCATCACACCTGTTTGCAGTTATATAAGCATATAATGAGTGTCTTTCTCACTTGACGTGTACAAATCACACCCGTTAACTAAATCTATATTTTATGCACAACTCCTTATAATTTCAAGCACTGCTGCTGTCAGGCTCATATTTCATTTTTTTTACAATAATTCATTACTTTCTCTATATAATTCCACCCACAGAATTTTTATTGCAGGAAACATTTTCATTCATCGCTCATAATAACAAAGATCACATCCAGAGACTTTCTGACCTGATCACATGTCTTTTACAAACTGCTAGATATGTCCACAATATTTGAACCGAAGCCCAAAATTAAATTTAAAATACGAATTATCCTGCCCACGTAACTTTAGCCTTTGGTGCACATAGCATGCATGGCGCTTGCTGTGTAAAGCACCACATCCCATTGCTTGTAAACATGGGGATGAGGCAGATTGAGCCCTTGATCCATCACCTCTGTAAGGTCATGGCCTCTCACTCAATCACATACCCAGTTGTATGCCAACATGAGTCCAGGTTTTGGCTAAATGAGACCACATCCCTACAACCACTCATCCTGGTCAGATCGGGGGGGTTGGGGGGTTTGCTGGAGCTTATCCCAGGAAGCAAATGGGGGGGGGGTAGCCCTGGATAGGGTCCAGGCTGTCACAGGGGTCCTAGGCTCACAAGATGCACACACACACGTGCGTGCGCACACACACACACACACACACACACCAGTGCCATGTGCAGTGTAGGGATGCCAGGTCAGGTAACTGCATGCTCTTGGTCTGTGGGAGGAAAGTGGAGCTCCTGGGTGGAGGGGGAGGGGGGGAGCAGGCAAACTCCACACACAAAAAGCAGAGGTGGGATTTCAGTCCCCCCCCCCCCCCCAAAGAGTGATACTCACTAACTCAACTGCTGTCTCTAAATCGACAGTATTGTGCATCGTGCATGTGATCCTTAATGTCTGTTCGTAATACGACTCCTTCGCCTAATGAGATGATGGGGGAAAGTAAATTAGGCTTGACTCCTTACAAGAATATTAACATCCTTGTTAAGGGTGGGAATACAGCCAGAAATGGGGCAGGGATTCTTTCATTAGCAGAAAAGAAAAATGAACTCGACAGTGAGGGAGGCCTATCTGAGAGCAGAACGTGCCAGTAACCCGCCACTGCAGGGATGTACTAATATTACCAAGAGCGGTAGCACGAGTATCTCAGATTCTACACCAGTCATTCTGATTCCGTGTATCTGCAGAGCCATGCTGCCTCGCATTGTCGGTAATGAATGATTCAGAATCAAAGGTCCATCATTTAAAGGTTGGGCTGCGATGAAGCACAATCAATGAATGATTTTCAGACCCAATGATAATAATCATAATAATAGCTATTATTGTTGCTTGTTTAATGAGTTTGTAGCACTGCAGTCCACCCCTGTGTGTGGGGTTTGCATCTTATCCCTGTGTCTCATGGATTTTTACCAAACTTAAAAGTTCTTTATTTGTCACATGCAGTCGTACTCGTACTACATACAGAGAAATGCTTGTTCTGGCTTGTTCTTGACCAGCTGTACTATATAAATAGGGAATATACTAGGTATAGTATATCTAAGTATATAAGAGTGTAATAAAATATATACTGAATATGAAAGGGAGTGGGAGACCAGGTCCTCTGGAGCCCCCTTCAGTCCAAAGATGGGTATCGCGCCAAACCTGTGCCCTGTTATGACTGGCATCCTCACCACAGGAGACCCTTGCTTTGTGCCCTTGGCTCACTGTATGGGATCAGTCTGGAAAGCTGACTGGCTGATTATCTTCATATCCAGTAGAAACATTTCATTTCACTGCTTTTATTATTCTTAGAATTGTTACGCTCTGCATATTTGTGCCCAATAATAATATTTCTGGGACAATGAGAGCTTTTGTGTTGTTTTATATAACCAGCTTAGCGCCCCTCTACAGCTCTGCTTATGGCTGGGCTGAGGTCTGCCGCCACGTAAGAATGATTAATTAAAGCCAGAACAGTCCTCAGAGTCGACGCGTGATCCGGCAAGCTGACAGACCTATGCTTCATTTTCAGCTATGTGTTTCTACAGATGTAATTGCTTTTATAATTGGCATTTTTATGGCTCATTGTCCATAAATGATGATGGATCTGAGTTGTTGGGACAAAAGCCTGCATGGACTGTGCATTAGTTGCAGATTCTCTCATCACCGACTGCGTCTGTCGCCGTTTTTCAAAAGCAGGAGTAAAACACTCACCTTCTGAAATCGTTTCGGAGATATTAAGATATTAAGAAAAATCTGTGCTTGCTAATTCTGCATTTCTAAAAAGGATTAGAAGTCAAGCCGTGGGGCTGTTTAAGATTTCCGCAATCTGAGCTAACAAGCCCTACACAAGCCAGTCGTAATCACCTCCGCCCGTGCAACGTGCCATTTGTCCTGCGCAGTTTAGCTAAGGCTGCTTTGGTAATCTGTAAAGCGACTGTACAAACTACTGTAGAGCACTGCCTCTCAGCTGGTGGGGAGAGACAACTGGAAGGGGGACGTAGGGTGAACTAAAAGGGGGCTTTATTAACCCAGACACAAACTTAAACCAAAAACAAAGGACTATGTGGGGCACAACAAAGGAACTAATGCTACCTAAGGGGGAGATCTGATTATAATGACTTACAGGAAGCACTCAAGCAGGGGGTGGGCACAGGGAAGTATGTAAGTATGTAAGTCACTCTGGCTAAGGGCATATGCCAAATGCCATAAATGTAAATGTAGGGAACGGCACTGATGATGAAAATGACCAGACTGAGAAGCACAAGTCAAGTAGACTTGGACTAACGAGGGGAAACGAGAGGCAGGCGTGATTAATAGACATGAGTGGGAGGGAACGCAATGGCCAACCACGACCTCTGCTGGCCAAACAGGAACATGACAGACAGATCCTGACAAAACCAATTAAGAGCTACTGCAGTAGAATACATCACCGTCATTCCCAAGCCAAATTACCTATTTATTTATCGTTGTGCTACTTTAACTTGTCTAGTATTGCACTACTGTTTATTTAATATTGCACTGTTTGTTTAGTATTACAGTGTTTAGTGTTGCACTGCTCTTTGCCTGCCACCCCCATGCAATAGGCCCTTCCCTTGCAACTGTGGTACAAGACTTTCACTGTGTTCCCCAAACACATGTGACAATAAAACCTGAAACGAATGTGCAGTATGTAAATTGACAGTACGCTTTGCTGTGTGCGCACTGTGTACTGTGCAGTGTAGTGCATAGTGACAGAGCATTCTCCCGTGCACACAGTGCCACTGCATTGCACTGCACTGTGCTCTGTGACAGCTCCCGCTGCAGTGTTTAATGTGACACTTTGGGGGCATTCTGTGCTGTGCAGCTGGAGTGCCGTTCCTGATGACTGCAGAGCTCTTCAAGCAGTCCCACCGGCCTGCCGCCTACACTGTCGGGGGGTCCCTCAACTGGATATCCAACTTCACTGTTGGCTTTGTCTTCCCCTTCCTGCAGGTGAGAGGATGCCCAGATGGTGGCGCTGTTTAGTGTGTGCATATCATAGCCATCTTCTAGTAGGCCAATGGCTAAATTGGAAAGACAAAAATAAGACGCCATAAAGAACGATTGCATGTCAGCAGCGGGTTCTCCTTGGGGTTCCTTGTTCTAGATGTCAGCCGGGTCCTTCTGCTACCTGGTCTTCTCCGGCGTCTGTCTCCTCGTGTCCACCTACGTGTTCTTCATCATCCCGGAGACTAAGAACAAGACCTTCATGGAGATCAGCCAGATGTTTTCCACCAAGGAGGCCGTGCCGGAGACCCAGGCCTTGAGTTTGCCGGATCAGCTCAAGCTGAAGAAGATGAATGGCTATGGCGCACTGGAAAGCGGCTCGCTGGAGTTCGACAGCTCCACCTCTGCCATCTGAGCAGACAGGAGAGGAAAGAGGATTAGATGGGCCCTAGCTTCTTTCTCTCTGGATTGCCCACTAGTTGGCGAGTGTGGTATTGGACAAAATCCATAACTGAGAAACTATAGCTTAGTAGACCACCAGGACAGCTCAGACAGCCTGGTGAGGGTAGTTTGTTTTGTATAAAATCTCAACTTAAACATCTCATTGTGAGGCAGAGATCCTGCTAAATTCTTGACTGCAATTTACATTCACTGAAACCATTAGTTCCATTTTAAGGTGCAGTGCTCTATATTTTAAATATTCTCTTCCTCTTTCTGTATGTGATGAATATTATTTTATTAATCATGTTGAACTGCTGGACAGCATTGTGGCTCAGTGGGGAGCAGCATTACCTCCTCCTGGAGAGTCTGGGTACTCTAATTTCCTCCTGTAATCCAAAGCAAGAAACTAGACTAATCGGCATCTCTGAACTACCCGAGGCGTGTGAGCGTGCCCGTGTGTGTGCACTGGATGCACTGTAATCGCAGCTGGCGTGTACCCCAGGATAGGCTCCAGGCCCCTTAGTGTTCCTCACTGGATTAAGCAGCTGTAGGGAAGATGAGTAATGAATTAAATACTCACTTGTGTTTAGGAATGTTCTAAACAGCCATTTTGTGTGATATTCCTTTCGTTACTCTTACCCACAAACCGCTTTATTGCCTTATCCTGTGAAGACAATCAAGATTGTTTAAAAATCTGCTAAACATATTCATCTATAATGCATGCTGGCTGATGATAGGGTTGCCAGGATATTATTATTCTTATTACCAGTTTACCAGTCCTGACTGACCGGATTTGTGTGTGGTTTTTGTCTGCGATATTATGTGCATGTTTGTACCTGCACTTCCGTGATGTCATAGCCAAGGACACATGGGAGTTTTTCTTACACAAAAATGTTCTGAGGGCAGAAGGGAAATTGATTGATTCGAGAGATAACCAATCAGATTGTTGAGGAGGTGGGTCCAAACCGCTAGAAGATTCAGGACCAACCAATTAGATGTCTTGGTCCCGCCTCTTCTAGTTGCTTGGACCCACCTCCTCTACAATCCTGATTAATTATCTCTCTGAACCAGTCATCTTTCCTTCTGCCCTCAGAACATTTTTATAAAACTGCCACAGACTTACCAAGGACACACACTTTTTCCATTTCCTCTACTTAAAAAAAACTAGAAGCGTTGATACTTTCAGTATATAATCAATTTGTGATGTTTTTGTTAAGATGGCTTGGGTTTGAGACTGATATTTGTATTAAAATAGGAGTCAATGGGAAATCCTTGCAAATACAGCTACAGCTAAACTCAGCATGTGATTGGCTGCAATAAGGTGTCTTCACACATGCCCAGAGCCAATCAGCCCAAAGCTGTGGAAATCTGCCCTCCCACTCTGTCACAGTTCCCATGTGATAGTCTGCCACAAAGGTGAGCTGCACTTTGTGAGTGCGGTGTTTATATCTGAGGTGCTCCTGATCTGGTGCTAGCTTTAATTTTGATCTTTTTTTTTTTTTTTTGAGAGGAAGTTCCTCAACTTCCTGAAAGCCAATTTTTTAAGCCAGCTGACACCTGCCCGGCACAAACACTGGGTTTATGCTACATATTATGAAAAAACAGCATTTGTTACGATTGTGTATAGAATATAAGTATATAAATTTGAAGTATAGAAATATATTTCACATTGCATTATTAGAGTTTTTCCAAATCTTTATAGCATAAATAATGAATAAAATTATTTTTAAACCATTGTGGATGCAATGAATGTTTTTTTTTTTGTTTGTTTGTTTGTTTGTTTGAGCATGTGGGTAGCTGGAATTATTGGACTGGGATTAAAAATTGGCCCTGGACTTTTGCCAATTTAGGCCCGTCTCACATACATACCTACAATAAAATACCGATCGGGGTTTCCCACCGACTGAACAGGGTCGCCCCCAGCAAGTTTTGCCAGCCCGCATCTCCATTGGCCCACTGGGAAAATGCCTGGTATGCCAGATGGCCGGTACAGCCCTGGAAGCTGGTAGGAATCCCAATAGGATATTTTCTGCGTCAGTTGTAGATGCTCAGAGATTAGGTGCTGTGCAGCTGTCGGCCAGCAGGTGGCAATGATATTCTAGCAATGTGGACAATGAGTAAAACTGGATCGTTTCATACTCCCCTCAACACAAAGTAGTTAAATTCCCAAAGGGCTGAACATATATAGTATTGTCTGATAGTCTTAGACAAACAAAGAAAGTGTTTAAAAAGGTCTTTAAATGATTTTCATGTTGGTGTTAAACTATGATATGATGTCTGTCAGTACGTTAGCTTAGCAATTTCAAAACTAAATTTCCTAAAATAACACCATCTGAAAGACCGGTGTATTTTATAACTCAACCCTACCCCACCTTGTTTGGGTAATGAATGAATGCTGAATTTATACAGATATTCAGCTTTTCTAGGCCCCCAAAGCACTTCAGAGAATCCACTGCAACCAGCACCACTGTGTGGCCCCCACCTGGATGATGCAACAGCAGCCATTCTGCACCAATACTCTCACCACACAGTAATGAAGGTGGGAAAGGGGTAGGAGGAAATTTATCAATTATATATAACGGAGATCTGATAAGGCAGGTACTATTAGCCAGGGCATCGGGGTACCGCCCATACGTCTTCAAAAGATGTCCAGGGATCTTTTATGACCTGCAGGTGTCACATCCAGCCCCATGCTGCTTGTTAGCTCCCAGCGTCTCCCTTGAGCGTAGCTGCTAATTAGCCCTGCCTGAAGCTCGTTAGTTGTACCTCTTGCTCCTGCTCTCTTGTTAAGCAGCCACAGCTGCCTTGTGTTCACTCTCCTGTTAATCATGTATGAAAGTGTGTCTCCTAGGGCAGCGCCTCTGTCGTCTTGTCCTGGCTCGTGTCCCCTATGGTCTGCACTTGTGCCCTTGTCTCTGTGGTTCTTCCACCTGTCTGTCTTCTTGTCTGTCCAACCTTTTGTCCCTGCAGCCCATCGTTCTGCTTCTGCTTGTCCCCTGGTTCAGGTGACATACTGTTTTGTCTCATGGTGTTGCCTGTCTGCCATGTTAAGCAAACAGAACGCGTTGGGATTATCCCTGCACTGCCTGCATTCTGGGTCCTTCCTTACGTGAGTGCATGTGGCAGAAATAGCCTTAATCATTGACTGCCTAAGACTTTTATGCAGTACAAATGTTTATATCAAGCTGTTAGATATTATGCAGGAAAATACACAAGCTAATGCTAATGATGCTCCAAAATCAACTTCCAGTTAATACTAATTCAGCAACCTTCGCATATCACAGATTTGCTACAATGAGACCTGCCTCTTATATAATTGGCCCACGTTAGTGACGATTCCTGGGATGCCCTGTGACACAGTAGAATCATATATACCTCTATGCGGCTCACAGAATAGCCGCCACACCAGGAAGCACAACCCTCCAGGCTATAGGCAGAGAGCTGCCATGCGGCCTGAATGCACTTTGCCAGCAGATGGCGCTCTCACGACAAACTGGCGGCATCTGCTGCCTGCTTGGCTCTGGAAGTATTATGTTGACGGATGTACTCTGTCCCCAGGGCTCTCTAGATGACAACATTAACACGTTGCTTTGGGTGCAGTAACAGGGCAGTTGTGGCGGGGAAGTTGGCTGCTAGATCAGAATGACAAATGTTTTTTTTATCAGTGAACAAGGCTGCTGACAGATCAATTCTTTCGCCAGAACAGCCCCACACTGCTGTAATATAACAAGATGGATGGCCTTCTTCAACAGGAGCTCCGCTAACGTGTTTCCAATGGCTTTCTCTGGCTCCAAGCACCATTGGTGATGTGCTTGCACTGGTGGGCAGTAGGTGGCTTATCACTGTAGACAGTGTTGGGGAAGTCACTCCCAACAGTAATCCATTAGACAGTTCAGGTCCAGAAAGTACAAATCCAGACCAAGTTATGCTTTACCCAACCCGTTGAGTATTTTCCCTAGGAAGGAGTTGTATAACATCAACAAGCATGGCTACACCACAAATCCTGTCTCACCCATAGTATCGTGTCATTTCCCTGTTTCGCTTCTCGTGTGTGCCTTCGTAACAAAACGTAGTTTGAAACGACAGACTCATCAAGGATTCCTCCTACAGCAGGAGTGGGCAGCCCTGATCCTGGAATGGCAGGCGCCCAGCAGGTTTTCCATCCTACCTGATGAGTTACTATCTGCCTGAGATCAGCTGTGGTTCATCAGAGACCAGGCAGGATCGAAAACTTGCTGGATACCGGCATACCAGGATCAGGGCTGCCTACCACTGTCCTAGAGAAATGTTTTGTAATTTGTGACCCATGTTGCTGATCAGTCACGTAGTGTGCAAACCACAATGATTTCAACATTCCTGATTGTAAGACAATAAGTTGCGTAGTGTGAACGGTACAGCAATCTAAAGACTTTGAAGGTCACGTGATGTAAACATAGAATTTGCTGCAGCCTTCATTGATCACATCGGACAGAGGTAATCTGGGCTTTCAGTAGCATCTCAGTATGAGAGTCAGCTATGTTGAACCAAGTATGCAAACTAAGTATGCAGTATGCATTTCATGGAATGTGATATGATGGACTGGGTTATCTGTATCAGGTGTGTAAATTGGAGCTGCAGCTAAGCTCTGCAAGGTGGTAGGTCTCCAGGAGCAGGGTTAGGAAGCTCTCATGTACACAGACATATATAGAGTAGAGAGAAAATCCAGCAGTCTATGCACAGGGTCAGCCATTTATTGCACACTCACATGGCATTTTAGGATTTAAGGGCCTTACAGAGATTTTACCAGGGCCCCAAGCAATAGGGGTCTATCTGTAAGCAGACACTACATGCAAGAAACTGGTTCCACTGGGTCTTGAACCCAGGACCTTCTGTGTGTAAAGCAGATGTGATAACCCCTACACTATAGAACCAGTACAGGCCAATCTGGAAATCACACAAGGACGATGTGTTAATTTAGTGGTTGGCACAAGCAATAGGCATTGACAGTCCCACCTGGACAGATTTATTCCAGTCTGCACTGACTGTAGAGGTTTTATTGTTTCTAATGAATGGCTTAAGCTTAGGAAGTATAACTTTGTCTCAGTGTCAAAACAGTTAAAACCAATCACACTCACGCCTGGCTGATTTGATACGGTAAGGATGAAGCCTTTGGTGAATCCGGCTCACAAATTTGAGTTAGTTGCTAAGAGCTGGTAGTGAATCTCATGTTAAGTTAAAAAATTCAAAGACACAGATGCTAATGTGTGTCACTTTCCTTGAGTCATGGTAACCAAGCAGTCCTTCGGCCATGAAATCCAATGGGGTCTCCCTGCACAGGTTCGAATCCCATCTGTGATGGAGTGGTGCTCTTATCGAGAGTGGTGTGTGGATAATTCAATTAAGATCTCTGTTTGTGCCTGGGATCAGAAGGGCACTGGTTTGAACCCTAGAGTCTGGCAGACCAATGCTGCCTTTGGGCCCTTGAGTAAGGCCCTTTATATCCATTTGCTCCAACGGTGCACCAGCTGACCCTGTGTTCCGACCCCAAGCTTTGCTCTTACCAGTATATATGTGTGTTTCTCAAAGGGAGAGCAAGATGGAATATGTGAAAAGAAGCATTCCAAATTACTTGTGCAAATGGCAAAGCATTTTTTAAATTGGCTGTACTGCTTGATAGTCTGCATGTACAGACGTGAAAATAATTTAGAGACCATTCTACATTTTTAGACTAATCTGCATTTTTAAATCTTGATTCGTTCGGCTGGCAGAAGCTACGCTGAGCAGCAGGTTGCTTTCAGGTTCACAATTTCTAAGACAGCAGTACACAACAATATGGTGAAGCTGGAGACACTGGGAAGGACCAGAAACCAGCCTGGTAGAGGGTGGAAGCGACGCTCCAATGCCAGAGATGAATGTTAACTTATCCGACAGTTTCTCATGAATCGTAGGATGAAAGAAGTGACCTACAAAAGGAATGGGAAGCATTAAGTGCAGGTGTGAAGTGCACTGCTAGGATGGTTTGTCTCAGGCTCCTAGAAGCAGGACTGAGGTCTCATAAAGCAAGGAAGACGTCCTTCATTAATGAGAAACAGGGAAGAACCAGACTGAAAAATATATATATTATTCACAGACGCACACCCATAAATTGAGAAATGAGTGAAACAAAAAATTGTGCTGTTGTCACTTAATTTTTTTCCGCAGCTGTATGTGCCCTGCAAATGACTGGCATCTTATCCATGGGGTACCCCTCCCTGGCATCGTATCCATGAGGTACCCCTCCCTTGTAATTTGTGGGCTCCAGGCTCCAAATCCCCCCATTATGCAGACCAGGATAAGTGGTTGGACTAGGCCTGAAGATCAAAAAAAAAGGAAAAACAATTTGTGTAATTATCAAAAGTCCCCACAAGGGGGAGAAATATCACTGTAAGAATGTTCTGCATCACCATTTCAATAATGAATGGGAGTTATTTCAAATCTATTGTTAACAATTTTCCAATTACTAGTCAGTTATTTTGGAACTATTGTTGTAAAATGTAGCCCTGTTATGACCCATCAAAAGGTGATTGCTCAGAAACATTTAGGCATTCACATAATTAATCCACGTATTTCAGAGGTGGAAAAGCTTAGTGAATTATTCACCGTGTTTTCTAAAGAGGGACTAAAATTACTATTTAGTATGACCAGGAGGGACATAAAAGCAGTTTATTGCGGTCGGATGGCGTTATACTTG